TGATTCAGGTTCCAGGTTTAGGGTTTAAGGGGTTGAGGTTTTAGGGTTTAGGGTTTATGGTGCAGGGTTCGGCTCAGGGCGCCTGGGCTTTATTCGGCTAAGCCTGTCGTTACTTTAAGCTCCTTGGGTCGCAAAGCAAAATTCTCGGGCAGGGGGCCGTGAAGGCTGGCCGTAAGCCCGTGATGTGTATCTCTTGTCCTGTCTGCCTCTGCCTCTGATGAATAGAGTGCTTTGTTGGCGGGCCTTAGAATTAGGATATCGAGTTTATCCAAACGAGAAGTGCCGAAGAATCAGTGGTCCACATTTCTGATTCTAGGGACTGAGCTGCGATCACAGGATCGATTGGCTCCTTCCACAACACTTCTCTGTGCTGAGTGCTGTCACGACCGACACCTCTTGCGTAAACGATTTAGTTTATAAACTGTTCTTTCTGATGTCTTCCCTGCGCATTGAGGGCACAATATTCACCCTAAGCCTGAACCGTGAACCTCGACTCTTCAGGGGGGGCCACCTGAAATCAGACGCAGTGGCCTCAACAATTGGAGCTGGAATCGGGATCGGGCTTCAGGGTACTTATCTACTTGGAGGGGCAGGGGGATATTGTGGAACGTGCATGCCACATCAGTCGTTCATCTGTCACCTCGCGCTGTCACGGAAGAAGAGAGCTGGCTGTGCGATTTCTGGATGCAGCGCTCAGTGGCCGATGAAAGCGAGTACAGTGACTCCGAGGAGGCTGCGGACGATGATGGGCCCAGCTCATGTGCCACTTTTTTTGCATCGGCTTCCGCTGTTACCAGGAGACCCCCGATCACCGGATTCGTTCTAGGCAGCCTCCCATCTACAGGACACCAAGCTGGCGGCCTTTTTCTGGTGCCCTGCATTACCATTATAGGTTTTAAGTAGGGTCATAAGTACCCAAACTGGAGTTACCCCAATTATAACCCTACTTCTACCCTACTTACTAAGTCCCTTGCCCCTAGCTATTTAGTAGAACTAGGAATGGCGAGAACATGTAGTTGTGCAGACCGTTACGCTGCACCCGGATATCTCTCGCCCAACGGCTCCATGTACCCATATATTAGGTACTTAGGTCTTAAAGTACCCATATAGGGACCCCTTTAAGGCCTAAGTACCTACTACATGGATTATAAGGAATATACGATAATTCCCATAGTTTAGGGTCCTTAAGGTAATGCAGGACTTATATCATAACCCTAAATACCCTCTTAAATCCTAAACCTATAGATCCCCTAGAGGAACTCTCAAAGGTAAGGCAAGAATCCCTAAACCCTAAACCCTAAACCCTAAACCCTAACCTGTAGCATCAACCGTATCTCTCAGGCAGAAATACTGCGGAAGAACGGAGCCCTGGCAGCAGCCGGAGACCTGAACCCCTAAGCTCTAAAGGTTTGGCCTTAAAGGGTTCCTTCAAAGGGATCTATAAGGGTTCCTTTACAGGGATCTATAAGGGTTCATTATACCGGGTGTAGGGGATAGTAGGGTTCTATGGTTTTTGGGGCCTAAATAACTACCTATGCTATTTTTGGCGGGTTCCAAATTATAGTTTTAGCATAAAATATCACAAAACCATATTCTAATCATTACGGCCCCTCAATTATACGAAGATCGCAAAGTGACCTTCAATGGGGTTGAAGGCATATACCTTCTCAAATGCCGAAATCCCTTGGCCTGATGAGGCGTCCAAGCCAATAGGTCATACCTGCCAAGACACATGGGTGGTTGTCAAAATTGGGTCCCTAATATAGTACGGCACCTAATATTTAGGGTACCCAAAAAAGGACCATAATTTTGTCAACCACCTACCTGGCCCTTCGGGAACCTTAAGGACCAAACGACCCCCGTAGTAGTTCAGGATCATGAGTCTCAACCCCTAAACCCTATCAGCCCTAAACCGTAAACCCTAAACCCTATCAGCCCTGTAGCCAAAAAGGGCACCCTTTTTGTTCCTAGGTTACTCTTAGGTCTAGGTTATTAAGGGTCATAGAGTCCGTGAGGACCGGGTGTGGCCAGCTGTTTCGGTCACCGAGCTCAAGGGCCTACAGTAGCAGCCAGAAAGTTGGAATATCATTATCATAACCCCTTTAAGGTAAATTATAGGGGATCCTGCCATTGTTCCATATTCCAACTTTCTGGAGTTCCCTTTAATGGTTTAGGGTTTTGAGTTTAGCCTTTTCGGTGTCGTGTTCGGGGTATTGCCGATGTTGGAAAGTACCGTTCGCAACACTCGCTAAGATTCTTGAGGACCGGACGACCCCTTCAAAGCAAGGGCGCTATACCCGCAGACGATGAACCCCTAGATGTGCGGTTGTCAAATTATGGTCCCCTTTTTGCTTCCTTAATATAATGCGGCACCGAATATGTAATATTTAGGGTACGTACCCCAAAAGGGACCATACTTTGACAACTACCGATATGGCATATGAACCTGAAGCCCTTATAGGGTCCGTTTCGCCATTGAGGGTTATGCTGGGCCACACATGTATCTCTTGCTTGACAGCTCCAGCTGATATGGTGCGCAGATACACATGGCTGAAAGAGCTCAACTCCATCCTAAACCCAGGGCTGCAGCACAAACCTGAGACAGACAATGGTTTAAGCGAGTACAACGTCGAAGCCGTGCATGATGTCTGTTGTGTAATTAACCAAAACGTTAATAAGTCAAGATAAATTCCTTCACCATGAGACCAGTTAATTCAATTCATACCAGCAACGACAAACAAGTTGGCGGGCAATAATAAAGTTGCAAAGCTTGCGTCCTGCCATGAGCGAAAGTTACCGATACCCGCGCCGATGGACATCGCAGCAGGATCCCGGCTGGTGTCTCGGCTTCCTTAGTCGCACGGATTTAGATGTCGGGCTTTCTTGAAAATAATTACGGATAACTTACGTCCGGGTGCATAATTGCAACGAGGCTGCTAGTAGTCTGGGTTTACTTTCGTTTCGTTATTTCGGCAACTTCCTTGCAGTCGGTGTTCTGCAGTTGCTTACCCTCAGGCTCCATGTAGTAGGTACCGAGGCCTAAAAGGGGTCCCTATATGGGTACTTTAAGGCCTAAGAACCTTCTAGATGGGTACACGGAGCCTTTGGGTTAGATCCTCCCTGCTAAGTCACTTGGCCTTGCAAAAGGCCCTTCTAAACCTTTATCCCCTAATCCCCCGAACCCTTACGGCCCTACACCCCTGAACCCTTAAACCCCTAAACCCTAAACCCCCTGAGCCTGATTATCCCATAAGCCGCTCAAGTACCCGCAAACCCCTGAACCCTCAAAAAAACCAAGCCCGAGAACACAGCCTGTAGTGGGATCCTAAGTGTATACCCCAAGCCCGAGAACAGAAAAAGCCGAGCTTGTAAAGCAAAAATGCCTTATATGGTGACGGAATAAAGAATCCCTAAGGGTCCATGTACCCATATAGCATATCCCTACTCGTCTTTCCTGCTTGCCTTTTGAGCAGGTTACTAACCTGCTCGAAAAGCACGCACGTTGCGTCAAAGCCTATTTTTAGGGTGCTTCAGCGGGGGCTCCGAAAAGCAACAGAAACAGCAGTGATTTCACTTATGAATCCTTGAAAAAGGGGTCAAGGAACCTGAAGAAGCACCAATAAATCCTTCAGAAAGGGGTCAAGGAACCTTAAGAAACAGCAATGGGCTCGCCTATTTTTGCATTGAGACTCGTTGAGATAGAGTATTATAAAGCTCGAAGGCAGTACAGGATCGGCACTGGGCCAACTAATTATTTCCTAAATTTCATTAGATTTCTTGCTATTGGTGGTTCGAGGAAGGTGTGGAAACAGCACTGGGGCTGCTGATTTCTAATTGCTAGGGTTGCAAGTGGGGCTGGTTGCAAGTACAAGAAAGACACCGGGGAGTTTTTTTTTGGTGAAATTCTCGGCTTAGGGTGGCTTTCAGAAGGTAGGAAACAGCATCGGGGCCACATAGGTGCACGCTGGGATCCCTCATTTTTCATGCTCGCGACTGCGAGAGTCATGGAGCACCCGGCGCCAACAGCACCTAAGCTAGTTCATACATCATATCATATATATATATATATATGTTGGATTTTGTGAGAGGGTTCGCAAGTACACAGATTATCCAGCCAGGACACCCATCGTGAGATTCCAATCTCAGCAGCATAGCGACAGCCTGGGCTGGATTTGGAATCCGGGATGTAGTGAATAATTTCCCAAAATTTCTGAAACCGAAACCCTGGAACGAGCCCTGCGTTATAACCACCGAAACCTATTATAAAGAACTGTAGCAGCCCTAGGCCATAAAGTCGCAAAAAAAAAACCCTTGTAATAACAAAAAGTCCTACACCCCAAAGCCTTTACAAAGAGCTCGAAAAATGTCTTGGAAGGCCAAGCTCGAAACCCTTACAAGGAAACCTTTATATTAATTTTTTAGGAATATGTATGATTGCAACAACCTACACCGAAGAGCCTTAAAGACTCTATGTAAAAGAAGCTTCTGCCAAAGTTTGCATCGGCAGAGGCCATGACATGAGGCGTCTCGATAGAGCTGCACCGCTTCGAATGAAAATTAAAACAAACATCGATCACATGATGTACTTCGGGATATATGTGTTATTATAAACACATACAATTTAGGAGTTGCAGCTTAATAGCCCAAATTAGAAACATACTTGGAACTAAGCCGGGATTCATATATGCATCCATTGAATCGCCAGTCCTCCAGAGCAGGCAGCTCATCACTCCGGATCCATCGTTGTCCAGATTTTCTTTTGCCTGGGGTTGGGAATTACAAAGAATAGAAATAAATGTTACGAGGGATTACAGGAATTATTCCTATTTTGCCAATGTGCGGCTGGATCACACGGCTTAGCGATTCCATCCTCGATCGCGCTCGCGCCTGGGCTGGTCTGGGACATGCAATTCTGGGGCTGGGGTTTCAGGGCTGGGGCTGGGGTTTCAGGGCTTGGCAGATCCCGGCTTAATCATACGGCTTAGCATGACAGAATCGAATTAGGCAGGATCATACTGGTGGCCGAGCATCCTGGTCAAACGACGCTTTGACGCCACAATCTTCAAGATTCCCATTCGCATAACCCAGCGATTGAATGCACCAGGCTTGCGAGGAGCACGCAGACTGACCCCTCAGATATCTGATGCTCATGAGCATGAAATTAAAAGGAATCGAAATCCCCCCTGGAGTCCTGCTTTTCACGCAATACGTACAAGTGAGAATGAAATTAATCCCAAGATTCGTTTGAGCCAGCCCATTGCATCTTCACCAGCAAAGCAATGTGTATAACGTGTGTTGTAACCTGATCAGGGGTCGAAAGAAATATGCATGGGATCTCCGGTTCTATATCCGTACGAGTCCCAAATAGAAAGCCACAATGTGTTCAAGACTTTCAGCTAGGAATCGCCATGATTTGCTTTGCTCCAGGAGATGGAGCATGGCCTGAGCATGAGAGCCCAATAGCAGCAGCATCGTAGTACAGCCACCCAACTATTCATAAAGCCAAGTTGCATGAAACTTCGGTTTCAAGATCCAAGAGAAGATTTGCAGCCTGAGCCGATTGTTTCGGGGTACGTGCGAGTGTGAATTAGCTACTGACGATAATCTACAATTTCACTATTACTCAGTATACATAATCTACAATTTCACTGTATATTAATATATATATATATATGTATATAGTGAAATTGTAGATTGTCGTCAGTAGCTACTTCACACTCCCTATACAGAACAAATATATAGAATAATAACAGCGAAGGAGCCGATGCGACATTCGTGTCAATTGCAGATGGCATCTGAGAAAGAGCTTTCCATTGGCATAAATTTCTTGGCTTTGGGCCGGGGTCCTCATGAGCACATGTCTATAGCTAGGTCAGGGACTGTGCCGAAAGAGATATAATTATATTGCATAAGAACTATAGCTATAATTCTTTTATTTATGCAATATAATTATATCTCTTTCGGCACGATTGTAAAACAAACTGAATTATATTGCTCAGTGCCATGGAAGCTGCAAGAAGCGCTTCGCCTTCTCATTGCCGCTGAACCAGTTGGAGAAGGCAGTCCTCGTGATCAGCTGCCCGGATTAAATTATTTGTGGTGTCCAAACCGTATATCAACTATTGAAAATTAGATTCATAAGACTATATCCATAGCAAGAACCTCACTCCTTTTGAGGGTTTGGGAATTGCTCAGCTATTGAAATTAAACACGAACCACATTCCTTTTGAGGGTTTGGGTAAATCAGCAGAGCTGCAGTGCCGTGGCATGCACACGAATGCTCTGGCTCACAGCTGCTTGCCGGGCAACGTCTTGCAATTTGCTTGCCAGCCACAACATCACGATGCGGGCATTATAAGCTTTGGTCGTCAGGTAGTAGCCATGCACCCGCTTCTTCAAATGCCGTGGCGCGAAAGATCGCTGGGAGCAAGCAATTTTGTTGGCCCGGCGCCAAACCTGAAACTCGCCATAGGCTGTTTCCAGCAATGCCTTCAGATCGTCAGGGTCATTGTAAGGCCCGAAGTGGCCCTCCCGTAGCAAAGCTTCCCTTAGATTTGTCTGATCGAATCATGACTGTGAATTATAATCGCAACCCTGCAGTGTGCAGTGAATCGACAAAAAATCAGAAGACTTGTAGAATGCAAATTGGGCACAATGCACCGCCACTTGCTGTGTGCACCAATCCCAGGTTGCAGACATGCATGCTGCAAAACTTGATCATGGATACATCGAAGCCCGTCAGCAGAGTCAGAGGGCCTTCAAGACTGGTGTGGTTTGGGCTGTGATTTGAATTGACGAAAGCAGGCTGTTTTCTAAATCAAAGCCAAGATTCTGACTTGTCCAGGCCGAATAGCCCGCCGAAGAAAGTCTGCAGTGTCAAACAGTGTATGCCTCCATGCTGCTCCATCACCATCATCATAATAGCGAAGTGGGGCATCGGATGCTTCGGCATTACACAGAAAGCAGCACTTCTTGGACACCGGGGTCCGCAGCAGTCGCAAAGTGCGCTCATGCCACTTCCAGTCACCCTTTAGCTCGGCACACACCCACCGGGTATCACCCGAAAACTTTTGGCCCGCCTTCTTTGCTTTCAGTCCAGTCAAAGCAGAGCCAGTTCTCGACACGGTTGGATATGAACCAGTGCACGCCTGATTGCAGCTCCAGACAATGTGCTCTAACACAGGAGTCAGAGTCGCAAGATTGTCGTGGATACAGCATGCATCCTGCAGTGCACATAGCAACCAGATGCCCTGTCTAGCAGCTTTCGGCTTAAACAGAGTCAGTTGCAAGAATATCCCCGTGACCTTGTCCTTGGGATCCTTCCCCAATGTCAGCTCATCCCCATAAATGCTGAATGGTTGCATCGTCTCCAAAGCAGCTCTATGAGGATGGTTCAGCGCGAAGGGGACGTTATTGGCAATCATGTGTTGCCAAAACCCGCGAACTTTAGACATAGGGCACTCCAGTTTGAGCTCTGTATATAGGAAGTCCAAAAGCTCGTGTGGATCCAGCACGGGAACTGTTGTATGAACCACTTTGCGATCTCCCTCAAAGCCCTCGTAGATCGTCGTTGGCACTTCTGTTGGTTCCTTGGGCTCTGGGATACATCTTGAATTGGAGGATTCTAAACGTTGTCTGGTTGTGGGGTAGCTCTCACTTGTAGTAATATAATAATCATAAAATATGCAACTCACTAAAATGATATCCTGTCCCGGATTCCAGAGGCACATTGACATTCTTGAAGAAATCCCGCGAATCATTGCCAGGCCGATATGTCATGAGTTTCGACATAACCTTGCCCTTGAAGCTCCGGCCAGATTCCTGCAATGTACACCCACAACTCTATATATAGCTTATAATTATAAGCACTTATAAGTCTGTATAAGAATTCGATTAATTATCTCATCCTAGTTGGCTAGCCCATTTTGCACACATTGTAAACCTCTCCTCGTAGCTCGCCCGGGCATTGTTCATAGCAGAGCCCACAGTCTCCGCCTGAGGACCCGGATGATGGCTCGAATGATGCTGGTGGTGATAAAGCAGCACTTTGGCTACAGGATTTCGGGATTTACCTTTCAGGGTTTAGGGTGAGGGCTTGTCGGCTTGATATATGGAAGTTGAACAACTATAATTTTGACAAGTGTCACCGTTGGAGACCCGTTCCAGGATGTTCTGCAGTAGCCCATTGGCAGCGTCACCATCATCCTCATCGTCTGACCCTGGCATGACAGGTCGGGCTAGGCTATCCTATCACGCTATGGGGATTGCAGAACTAGCTTGCAGGCCAGAGTTTTTTTCTCAACATGGGCGAACGATCCCCATGCTATGCACATGCGCACCCAACAGGGCCTACGGAGCAACTGCACTGCTAGGCTGCAAAATGCCTCTCACCCCCACACACACCAATCAGCCTTTGCATGCATTATGTGTAGGTATATACACTGTATATGGGAATTCTTTCCATCCAAGGCGTGTGTGCTTCCACCTCGACAAGTGCAGCATTTGCAGCCGCCCCCTGCCCCTGGCTTCGACTCCAGATGATGCTCAAAACGGCTGGGCCCTGGCATTTAAAGGGTTTATAAATTAAGGGATATATTCTATAACCCAAAGCCCAAAGTCGCAAACCCCAAAAGTGCTAACAATTCCTATTCTTTATTATATATAAAGCGCTTTTGGGGTTTGCGACTTTGGCTTATAATACCTATAAACCCTAATAACCCCATAACCGTTACATATAGGGTCTTGGAAATTCGGGCTGTTGGAATTGCATCTCGAAAGTTCGATTATTTTTGGGGGGGCTTCAGATCGAGTAAAATTAAGAGGTTTATAATTATTAGGATTATAAGCGTATATAGGGTAAGCGCTAGCAGAGCCACTGGAACTCTGATGATCAGCCTACGGTAGGGTTTTGGGGTTTATAAGGGTTTTAGGGCTTATAAGGGTTTTTATAGGTTGTAGCGGATTACATTTATTAGGCTAGGGTTTTGGGGACCCAGGAGTGCGTTTGCGGCTTCGGCTACCATTATTAGAGAATGGAATCAGGTGCTAGAGCCAGGTTTGTTGCAGGCACATGTGCATGCAAAAGCACATATGTAGGCCAAGGTTGTCCCTGGCCCATCTTTGCAAAAGTCAGCACCCAAGTGAGGCAACAAGATGCGTGCAGATCAAAGGCCTGCAGGTCTATGTTGCTAGGATATCCAAGTCGACTTGGAAAGTATGCACACAGCAGTACAGAGTAGGTATTATTATAAAACATATCTAGCGATGGTACGAGCGAGCCTCTTACTTGGATTTGCGCTCTTTACCACCTTTGGTGCCTTTGGCGCGAGAATCTAGATCCTTCTGGATGGTATCATACTTCGCCACAGCAGCATTCAGTTTGCTAGTGGCATCCGCCATCAAGCCAGCCTGGCAATTGCAAGGGACAAAAGAAAAAGGGTTAGGGATTTCGAGTCGGGTATATGGCAGGATGGGTATAATGACGTTAGCAGAGGGTCGTGTTGTTTCAAAGGACACAATAATAATATATGGGTGGTACCCTATAAAGGCCTGAACCCTGATCCCGAGAAGATCCAACACATAAATCCATATTATATATATATATATATATATGTGTATAATACAGCAGTGAAGCCTCTATCTATATAAGCTTATATAACAGCAGCAGAGGCTAAGAATATAAGAAACCCATATGTATATATATATATAATATATATGTACATATATATATACATAATATACATGTGAATATCAAGATATAGCAATGTAGTCTGGGCTAGAAAGCCTGAAACCCTACCCCTGCATTTCTCCATACCCTTGAAGTCCCCATGGCCACACACGACCAATACTGAAAGTTGTTTGCACTATCCCGGCAAGATCCCGTAAAGAACAGTTATAATTATAAATTATGATTAATCCCAGGGCCATTGAAAAAGCCGAAATCCCAAGCTCCAGCCTATAGATCACAAATACAAGTGGCAGTGACATCCAAGGTATGTATCAAAATCCCAACTGGGCCTCATCTCGGTCCACTGCAGCCTGCAGCTCTGCGCGGGCTTCACCCACCAGATTGGCCTGAGACATTGCTGCAGCAAGGTCATGAGGTCTGGGGTTTAATTTTTGATTATCCATGGGCCTGGGCTTCCACATCGTCCTTCATCGCTTTCAGAAGATGAGGTCCCCTGACAGAGTGGAGAGTGGGATAGACACATGCCTTCATTCGGGACTATTCAGCACAGGCACACACCATCGATCGCATTCGTGTCCTTCACTTTTGTAGCTGCTTTGATTCTCTCATTGGCTTTCTTCAGGGCCTGTGCCACAGTACAGTGCAAAGGTTAAAAGGCACATAGATTACCACGTAGCAAATCCTGCAATTAACTCGCACCTTGTTGGCATTGCTTCTGGTCTCCTGGACTTCCTGCTCCTCGGCAGTCAAAGCCTGTGTCGGGATGGGGGTAAAGTGGATTGCGATTTCAAGCATACTGGGTTATATCTATGTTGGCATGAAAACAGAACATCATAATTATATAGATAAGGGGACCCAGAAGGCTATGTCTTAAAGCAGATTATAAAGAGTAAGAACCCATATACCACCTAGACTAAGATTTTACCTATTTCCTAGTTCATTACAAGCTATTATAATAGCTTGTAATGAACTAGGAAATAGGTAAAAAATAATACAATCCCAGCCACAAGCAACTCCCCACCTTGGCACTCTTGTTGGCACCCTTTCCCTTGCCTTTTCCCTTGGGTTTCTTCGGGCTTCTCTTTTTGGGGCTGGGGCTCGAGGCTTTCTTGCTCTTCTTGGCCTTCTTTGCTTTCTTCGTCTTTTTCTTCTTCTTCTTTTTCGTTGTCTCGTTCGACGACGAGCTGTCTGTGTCCTCGACTCCCACCGAGAAGACGGTTTCAAAGGCTTCCTCGTCCAAATCCTCCTCAGAGGCCTCCCATAAGCATAGATATTGTTTGAGATGTGAAGCATCGGGGTGGTCTCGAATTTCATTCTTCCTCCTGTGTTCGTCACTCTCCTTTGATTCCTTCATTGCCAGGGCGATTTCAGCCCCCCACTTTGTGATCATCTCGGTATACAGCATCCACTTCCGCAGCCCTTTGCGTGCACTGGAGCCCTTGCGCCGAAGGGTCACCAGCAAAGAGCTTTTTTTCCAATCCTCGTTTGAGGCCAACCAAGACTCGAACATGTAGCTTCTTTGCCCTGGCTCGTCCACTGCCTTTCGTGCCAGACGAGCAATCTCAGGTGGGCAATTGATACCTGGGCGATCAGAACATACAAGCCCTGGAACTTCAAGAAAAAAACTTGTTAGTGCTATAAGTAGCAAGATGAGCAGCTCTCCAGGCTTCTGTAATACCGCATGTTGCGTGCATGGAGCCGCTTTCTTCGTTCCTCCTTTGTTTCACCGGCTGCCGGCTTGCTTTCTTCGGGCTTCTCTGAATCATTCTCCACCTCCTCCTTCTTATCTTCAGATCCTTCCGCCTTCTTTTGCTTGTCGATGTGGCCAACGATCAGGTGAAGCTCCTCAGTTGTCAACTGATCCACTGTATGTCCTCGGCGTAGGATGGCATCCACCCGACTCGCTGTGTCACCATGATCACCTGCAGCCTTTTCACTCTTGCTTGCCTCCTTCTCATGAGCCTTCTCATCACTCTTGCTTGCCTTCTTCTCATGATCCTTCTCATCACTCTTGCCTGCCTTGTTCTCAGGAGCCTTCTCACCATCTTCCTCCTTCCACTCGTACCAATCATTGCCCGACCACGTACCATTCCATGAGGGGTAGGACCACTGGCCACCCCATTCACTCCAACCCTGATCCCATGGCCTGGCCCAGGATGCATCCGACCAGGAAGACGAGTACCAGCTCTGGTCTGATGCCACCTCATGGGACTTGGTTCGATAAATTATTTATTATTATATCATTTACCATAGACTAGCTTTACGCTACCGTATATTTATTGGGATAGAGTCTCTGGCACTTCGAGTATTGGGGGATCTGTCATGTTTTTTATGACTGGCTTTCGGACACTTGCAATTGGGCCTTATTACGTAGGGCTGCAAGGGAGGGGGGGGGGGCTTGTATACAGGGTCTTGACATCATGTAACTTTCGTTGCTTGGGGCTTTTGGAGCTTTTGGGGTTACCGCCTTCACGGCTTGGAGCCTTTATTATAACCCGCTATAATAATATAACTATGACGACGGCAACTGCTATGGCGACTTCATTCTATGAAGAATGAAGTCGCCATAGCAGTTGTCGTCGTCATAGTAATTATAATTATATTATATAGTAGTAGCGTATAGAGTTCAGGGTTCAGCGCTTCGAGTTTGGGGGTATAGGTTTTTAGGGTTGGAGGGAATTCGAAAGGCTGAGGGTTCTAGCATATCCGAGGTTTATGTTGGGAGTTCCTATCGTGCTTGTGAAGGCCCTTGCTGCGATAAAGGTGGAACCCGAACCCCTAAACCCCTAAAACCCTAAAAGGCCCTAACCCAAAACCCTGCACCCTAAACCCCCTATAGATCTCCTACAGGAGCCCTTAAAGAATCCCTCAAATAACCCTAAAACCCGAAAAGGCCCTAATTCCCCTAAGCCGAGGCTGAAGCTTCGAGAGATGCGCTCTGGCTCTGAAAGACCCGTCCACTTCGACGTAGCGGGGGAGGTGGCGGAGAGTCCACTGGGGTTTTGGGTTTAGGGTTTCAGGGTTTGGTTTTAGGGCTTTGGGCTTAAGGTCTAGAGTTTGGGGTTTTGGGTTTTGGGTTAAGAGTTTGGGATTTTGGTTGCAAGGTTTAGAGTTTGGGGTTTTGGTTTTAGGATTTAGGATTTTCGGCTTAACGTAGTAGTCGTAGTCGTAGTAGTAGTAGTAGTAGTAGTAGTAGTATAGTAGTAGTAGTAGTAGTAGTAGTTGGTAGTTATATATAGTATATAGTACGTACCCGAATCCACCCTCTGTGAACAACGGCCATGGTTAATCTTAAGTAGCCCTTAGAATACTAAATCCAAGGCACAGTGGACGACCTCCTGAACTTCGGCATGCTTCCTTCATCCTCATCCTGGCCAGGCATCTGGGGTTAATGGGTTTGGTTCAGGAGGGATGATAAAAGACAACTAGCGGGCTGCAGGCTTAAAAAAAAAGGATTATTATATATCCTGCGGGGTTCGGGGTTTATTCTAATATCATTATAATATAATGTATATGATTGTTGGTTTTAGGTTCCGGGATGAGGGCTTGGGGCTTTAGGTGCAGGGGTGTGTCGTATATACGTAGGGTTCCAGGGCATTCGGGTTGATATATCGATCTAGGAGAAATCAAACGAGAATAATCTAAGATAACAGGCCTTCCAAGCAGAGGTCGAGGAAGCAGGTGACATCCCCTTTGTTGGGCTACTGTGGCGGCGCTTTCCACTGCACTGGCTCTTCGGACTGGCCCTGGATGCTTTGCTCGTGGATCGCGGTGTCTGGCTGGTCCCATCTGCGGCCTTTGCTGGACTCGGTGTTTTGCTCTTGGGTGTCTTGCTTGGCTCTGCACTGGCGGCTTCTGCAGGCTTTTCTGGACTCGGGGTTTTGCTCTTCGGTGTAGTCGATGCTTTGCTCTTGCGTCTCTTGGGAGTCTTGCTTCGGTCTGCGGGCTCGGGTCCTGCATCCTTTTGTGGAGTCGGTGTTTTGCTCTTGGGTGTCTTGGTTCGCTCTGCACTGGCGGCTTCTGCTTGCTTTTCTGGCGTAGCTGTCCTTAGCTTGCTCTTCGGTGTCTTGCTTGGCTCTGCGGGGTCTGCTTCTGCGGCCTTTTGTGGAGTCGGTGTTTTGCTCTTCGGGGTTTTGCTTGCTGGCTCTGCACTGGCGGCTTCTGCAGGCTTTTCTGGACTCGGCGTCTTGCTCTTGGGTGTCTTGCTGGGCTCTGGCACGGCGGCTTCTGCAGGCTTTTCTGGACTCGGCGTTTTGCTCTTGGGTGTCTTGCTCGGCTCTGGCGGGGCGGCTTCTGCAAGCTTTTCTGGAGTTTTGCTCTTCGCTGTCTCTGCGCTTTCATCCGGGGTCTTGCCTCGCACCCTTCGGCGCTTTGCTGAGCGGACCTTTTTGTTGCTGCCCAGCTTGCCTGCACTCTTATTAGGGGTGCGGGGCTCCTCGCTGCGACCTCGTGCTGCTGCTGTCTTGGAGTTCGGTGTCCTTGCCTCCTGGTCGCCTGCCACTGGGCAGACTCCAGGATCCTCTTTTGCACGTGCTGGTGTTTTAACCTCCTGCTTCACTGCACTGTTTGCTTCGGCTTCTTTTGCTTGTTCATCATCTTTCTTTGCATTTGCCTCCTCATAGGAAGTTCCTGGCAAAATCACAGAATAGAATACAGCATCAATGCAAAGCTCCGAATCTTCAACTTGGTACATGTTAGACAATCAGAATTACTTGTCGGGCTGTCCTTTCAGAGCTCTCTTTCTTAACTCTTCAACAGCAGCCAGCGCTTGTTCAACACTGAGAGCCGGCTTGGGCATGTTAACACAAAGGGGATCTACAAAGGGACACTAGGCAGGGGCACATGTACACATTATATATGACGTAGTTGGGTCGAGTGTCTGCGGCATCTGCTGAGAACCTGGTGATCTTGGAACCAGCCAGAACTTCACTCGCTAGATAAGAAAATGCTGCAGCAGGGAATGTATGAGGCTCACACACTGAAGAGTCACACTGGAGTCACGCTAGAGTCACGCTAGAGTCACGCTAGAGTCACGCTCCCTGTAATACTGCTCTTAAGCACAGTCACGGAAGAATCACGCTAGAGTCACGCTAGAGTCACGCTAAAGTCACGCTCCCCGGGTCCTGGCCCAAACTCTGCTATTTATATGAAAATAGTATCGTTCCTAGCAGTCAACAGCATATTGCGGGTTTAGGAACCAGGCCCCCGAAGCCACGGACGGAGCTGCACACGGAGCCCATCAGTGTATTTCAAGAGTGCAGGCCCTCCAAATTGGAACCAAATATGTAACCCAGGCCCCCTCCAATTTGCAATAATGAGTGCCGGAACCCTGCACTCTTGTACACGGCTCTAGCTACAAGCCCTCAGCCACCGGGTGATATCGACCCAGAAGCTGCTCTGCTCCGAGGAATTGCAGAATCTCATCCATATCTGCAGAAGCCCAGGCTGGTGCCGCTGCCACCTGCACAGATTAGTATTGATCCTTATCCAGGGTATATAATAGCCGCTTGCCCCCAAAGTCCATATAAACCCAGACTGTGCCTACCCAATTCTAGGTATCGACACGTACTGGAATTCAACCCCTAAACCCTACCCCTAGGGTATATCTAGATATATATCTATGATAATAAATCTAGAAATAACTGATACTCGAAGCCAACCCCAGACCCTAGGTTCCCTATATCAATATAATTAGAAGGCGGGCGTGTGTAATAATAACCACCTTTTTTCTGAATGAAAGCCCATGCCAGCTCCAGGTATCGATACTCCAAGCCAAGCTGAAACCCTAAGACCTATAACAAAGAACACATTATAATTTCCAATCCCATATATATATAAGCTATACATGCCAGGCTCTAGCTAGTTGATGAACTTGAGTATAAATATATTATAATATATTTATATTCAAGTTCATCAACTAGCTAGAGCCTGGCATGTATAGCTGTAGCGAATATGAGGAAACCCAAGCCCGCTGTTTGAAACCCAGGGCATATATCAATTATATAATATCGTCAGTTATTATAAAACTAGCTACAGCCTGGGCTTTCCCCATCACCCCCAACCTGACCTGAAGTCCAGTTCGAATCCCTTATATTATAATCTATAATTATAACCCTAACTATAAGTAGAATTAGATTATTAATGACATCCTACTCCCCAGCCTGGCTCCTCCCCAAGAGAAGCCCTCAAGTTCATCAACTAGCTAGAGCCTGGCATGTATAGCTGTAGCGAATATGAGGAAACCCAAGCCCGCTGTTTGAAACCCAGGGCATATATCAATTATATAATATCGTCAGTTATTATAAAACTAGCTACAGCCTGGGCTTTCCCCATCACCCCCAACCTGACCTGAAGTCCAGTTCGAATCCCTTATATTACTCTATAATTATAACCCTAATAAATATATAAGTATAATTAGATTATTAATGACATCCTACTCCCCAGCCTGGCTCCTCCCCAAGAGAAGCCGTGGGCCAGAGTCCATTTTCTTCTGAAGTTTCTTCCCATGCCGCTCCTTGGCACATACACAGATTTCGCGACTGGGTTGGGGTTTACAAGCTCCTGGGATTGAATTATTACGGGTTCGTTATAAAAAGAATAGATTTCAACTAAGATGGCTTCCCATATGGAGACAGCAAGAATCCACGGATTTTAAATGCAACCGCAAGATTTTCTTGCAGAACTTGCGCGGGTACTCCTGCGTTTTCTTCAATAGCCTGTCACCAGTCCTGGGCCAGCACAGGAGTTGCAGTTGGGGTCAGGGCCCAGTTCTCTACACTAGACATATACATTATAATTATATATTAGAATTCCAAGCCAAGCATCACAGCTACTCTGCCATGCCTGACCCTTCGATGAACCACCCCATGTGAGGAAAGACGGAGCCTTTCTCGACGTGCATTGGACAGCTTCTTGCCCAAACGTCCAATAAAGGGCCTTGGTCGGGAATTTTGGAAGTTGAGGATGATGATGCAATTGTGTGCTTGCTAGACTGGTCAGGACTCACATGAGGCATTGACAGGTTGCTGTAGGCTAGGGAGCCCTTGCAGCTGAAGTGTCCATAGTTGCCCATCCAACTTAGAGTGCACTGATCATGGTACAAGGAGTGATGAAGTACATGGGTGAGCATGCATCACACAACATTGTCAGAGGGCTCGGCAAGAACACCCTGTGTACAGGGATAACCTCGCTGATCATGTCGAACACATCACGCACAAACGGCAGCAACTCCAGCTTGGAAGAAAACGGTTGTTCAAGCATGAAGAGAACTCGTCGTGCCGTGAGCAAAAGAAGCAACAAGCACACCCGTGCTGCAATCCTCAGATAACAGCAGGGATCATAATTCACATGAAGCCCATGGTTCACCAGTTCACTTGATCATCTTTCTATCCAAGCAACTTGTTGCCTTTGGCGACATGTGGCAGATCTTCATTGCCATAAGGACGTGCTGCTGATCTCTTTGATGTTGCTGAATTAATCCAAACAAAGGATCCACAGGGCAATCCAATTGTTGCCAAGGCCAGAGGCTTCAGCTTCAAGATGCAGCGAACAGCTGATATAAAGCCAACCCTTAGCTCTAATATTCTATGCATCATGACACTGCATTATTGCTTGCGACTGCCATCCAAGGAGCGTGGTGCAGATATCATCGTCGATGCGAAGTGTCATATCCATATAGTCACTTAGCTTCAAATCATACCCTCCTCGCGATTGAGAGCTAGAGCAATTTTAGTATTAGTATTACTTTAGAAGGTAGATAGGGACAATTCAATTGCAGATGAGAGGCCTCCTCATGCCGTCCCGACCTGAGTGCATGCGCAAACATGAATGAACACGTAGAATGCAAGACGGCCATACACAGGATCTGCTGCAAACAAGGCACAGTATGCTCTTTGCATGTTTCGTGCCCCGGCAAACATGTCGTAGTGCATAAGGTCCTGGGTCGCAGACTAGCTTATTATATAGCGTATGTACTATAACACGAGGCCGTGACCCGAAAGCTCATGTTTGGCGGAGAATTCTGGGCCACGTAGTCCGCCACTTGGATCCTTGTGTAGCTCTAGCAGGTCTCGGGCTTTTGAATTGTAGTTGCATTGCAATATTGGGACATGAATATGTCCAGATGAGCTACAATGCTGAGTGAGCCCCCATCATGACCAGGAGTGCTGCCGCTGATGACGACAGTGACAATGGGCTGCTTTGCGGAAAGCGATCCATGGATTTAAATCCGGCCAGGTTTTGTTGGTGGGATCTATTTAGGGTGTCCAGGGTGAGGGTGTACGTTATATATGGAAACTATCTTTATATATATATTCTATATATATATATATATAGAGACATTAAAATAACTAATAGGATAATTATAGGGTTGGGGGACTTGGTTACTATGCTGGCTTGGAATTCCTATTTCGTCTAACCCCATAGCTAGCGATCTCCAATCACAAGCCGGAGCAGACCTGGCATACGGTTCCACTATACGTAGTAGGTATACCTGCTGAAACTCATTCCTCGCCCCATACCAAGACATGCATGTGCGAGACGATATCTCATTTTTTTGCATCTCTCGTTGAAAGTCAACAAGACTGTCCCAGTCCGAATTGGGTGTACAGGCGGCACAAGTGTTCTCAACTTACACCCTAAGCGCATACCAGTGTATATATATATATATATATATGTGTATATATATAGGTCTAGGCAAACCTTATTACTCCCTCTATGGTAGCCTGCTCAATCCCTGCTGTACACCAACAGCAGCTTTGCAAGGTAGCTGTGAACCTGGGTGGTAGCTGCTGTCCTGTGGCCTACGTCTTGGGCGCCGGAAGAGGCCAGTATGGCTTCAGCCACCCAGCCACTTTTTTCGCAAGTCTGTACCTGGAAATCGGGATATCAGGATCTGATCGGGGATCTCATAAGTGCATGGATCTGACTTCGAAGAGCAGCCGGGGCACACTCGTTGAAGATCCCCCAAATCGCCCTTCTTCCAAGCCAGGCTCACACCCTCGTTCTTGTTCGCCTGCAACAATCCAAATACATCTTATAAGAATTCTAGATTGGAAAGTATGGAGGAAGCACGACTTTCATATGTACGGGTATAATTAGTAAATTAGTAATACACGTAGGATTCCTCGGCACATCTGGCCGCCATGGATTTCGAAATTGCACTTGCTGATGGAAGCTCCAGTGATGGTATGGACGGTGCGGGTTCCAGCACGAGCACATGGTCACTTATATCTAGGCATGTGCACGATCTCGAACAACGTGTACAACAACTGGAGAGAGCAATGCCGCCGCCTTGCATCGTCGTGTCTTACAGAGCCTGTGATTTCGTTGGCCGAATGTTGGTGCGGATGTGTCGCCGCTTGTATGAGCTCGTGATGAACCGTCCTTATTCTGCTGGTCCAGCTCGCAATCGACCGGCTCGATATCCCGAGGCAGTCTGACATTGAATGTATGCTAGTCGATATATCAGACTATATACCACCGGCGCTGGGATGCAAAAAAATCTGTTGTTTCTTTGGGCTTATCATTGGGGTATTTTCGGATGATGGTTCAGGGCCTGAGTCTGTGTCCGATCCCCTCAAAACCCCTATTTATGTTGTCTAATAGAAAACCCCATGGTCACAAAGGCAGCAGGCCTTGAGGTTGGCATCGGAGGTGTATTTGTTGATGGCTCGGAGACGTTCAGGTGGAACTTTGCTCACATAAAAGCCACCTTGGAGCCTTGGCTGAACATCATTGTAAACTTGTAGGAAACATGTATCTATGATCTCATGTAGTGACAATGTACGTAGTGTGCATCCCAACTGCAAAGTTTGGATGGAGCGTGCACCACCATCCTTGTTCTCCTCCTGCACCTTCGGGGAGGGATTCAGCGTAAAGGACCTTGGATACAAACCACATTTGTAATACACAGGAAACACGACCCGAAGCAGAAGCCCAACTTACTTAGAGGATCATGGGACTTAGTAATGTAGGTTATAACTGGGGTTATATATAAGTCCCCTAAGTGGGGTTATCCTAATTATAACCTACTTATAACCTTACTTACTAAGTCCCATGAGCCTTTAAGTAAAGATGATTAATGGCAAGCCACGCAATGTCCGAAAAGTCAGTCGGCAGCAGCATACTGTTGTCCAACAACCGCAGCTGTCGGAGGTCGTGGAGAACCGAGTCTTTCTTCGCCTTGTCACAGTGATAATGCGTAAGTTTTGCAGGATTGTGTTCAACAGGAAATCTATATAAGAACATGTACACATGCGTAGCGGTCC